AAATAAAGAACAAAACTCAAACACAGGGGAACTCCAGAGAAGAAACAATCAGGAACAGCTAATCACCTCTCAACAAAGGATTCCCCCAGGCAGTAACAGGGCATTCCTAAAAACTGTCAGGCCATCAAATGCTAATCAAGGTGGCCAGTTGAAACATTCTCACCTAGCTCCAACAGATAAAGAGTTCTTTCTCCCATCCTGGACACTCCACAGATATATAAACCCCATTTTTCTAGTTTCCAACAGACCTCACAACCTCTGAGGATGCCTGCCACAGATGCAGGTGAAATGTCAGGAGAGAATGCTTCTAGAACATGGCCATACAGCCCAAAAAACCTACAACCCAGTAAACTTTGGCCACATCATGAAAAGATGTGGCCAACTTTCTTAAAAAGATGCTAATGCTCAGTAAGATAGAAGGCAGTAGGAAAAAGAGGAAAACTGGGTTGCTGAGGATTTTTCAGGCTATATGGCCATGCTCTAAAGGCATTCTCTCCTAATGTTTCACCTGCATCTATGGCAAGCATCCTCAGAGGTATTGAGGTCTGTTGGAACTAGGAAAAGGGGTTTTTATATATCTGTGGAATGATTCCTAGTTCCAACAGACCTCACTACCTCTGAGGATGCTTGCCATAGATGCAGGCGAAACGTCAGGAGAGAATGCCTCTAGACCATGGCCATATAGCCCAAAAAACCTACAACAACCCAGTGATTCTGGCCATGAAAGCCTTCGACAATACAAAGAGGAAAACATCATTGCAGATGGATCAACTCAATCAGGGAAGCCATGATTGTTCTGAGTTTGCAACACCAGAGCAGCATAGGTGATTTGCGGAGTTATCTCATTCATACAGTTGCCTTACACTGAAGTTGACTTGAAGCCAATACACAACAACAATGACAACAGTATTAAAATGGGTTGTTGTAGGTTTTTCCGGGCTATATGGCCATGTTCTGGAGGCAATTTTTCTCCTGACGTTTCGCCTGCATCTATGGCAAGCATCCTCAGAGGTAGTGAGGTCCTAATGATTCCTAGTTCCAACAGACCTCACTACCTCTGAGGATGCTTGCCATAGATGCAGGCGAAACGTCAGGAGAAAAATTGCCTCCAGAACATGGCCATATAGCCCGGAAAAACCTACAACAACCCAGTGATTCCAGCCGTGAAAGCCTTCAACAATACAGTATTAAAATGATAAACTACTCATATTGCTACTGGCATGCCATCTTGGACTAGAAGGAGGTGGATGTGTTTGGCCATGTGGGATGGCCACATTTGCTTCAAAGCTGTGGAAGTGGAGTTGGGCATGCAGTGCCACTGTTGATGCCGATGTGCATCCTCATTTGGTCATGCATTTTGGTGCACATTCCGCTGTGCTTCTTTGCCACAGAGTTTGTTTTAGTGTGCTAGATCACACCTGCACAAGCTGCATACCTTTAGCCATTTACTTGGGAGTAAGCTTCATTGGTCATGCATTTTGGTGCACATTCAGCCGTGCTTCTTTGTCACAGAGTTTGTTTTAGTGTGCTAGATCACACCTGCACAAGCTGCATACCTGTAGCCATTTACTTGGGAGTAAGCTTCATTAAACTTTGTAGTACTTTGAGAGAAGACGTGCACAGAATTGCCTCCTTTGCAATGTCCCTTGGAGATATTTTAGGGAGGCTGCTGAACCCTGAAGAACAAAAATGACAAGTCTCGTAACAACTCCTAGTGACATTTTAGCAAGTTGTCTGCAGCAGGCAGAATTAGGAGGAACAACACTGAGATTAGCAAGAGTAGGCAACAACAACAACAAAACCCAAGAAAGGCTATTGCTAAAGAGATTCAGCTGGGATGTATGTTACGTTGGAATGACAGCCAGAATGGACATAAGAATAACAGGTTTTGTTTGGCATAAGCTTTCATGAACTGCAGCCTCACTTGTCAGACGTGGGCTACAGTCCACAAAAGCTCATCCTCTCCCAACCAAAAGGTGTTAAACCTTGAAGGTGCCACACAATTCCTTCTTGTTTTTGCTGGCACGTGTTTTGGCTGCCTATTGCCCTGTAAGTCATATGAAAAGGAGGTTGTTGGTTTCCTTCAGAGCTGCATATTTTTCTGAACCTTATCTCAGTATGTTTTGCTGCCTTCTGTGTATCTGTGTCACATGTTTCTTGATGCTGCCACCCTTTTTGCAGGTTCTTACTCCTGGAATTTTTAATAGCAGCTTGATTTGCAGAGGGAAAATATAGATAGCTTATCTCCATACTTGAAGCTTTGTAACAGTCATTTCTGCAGTTCAACCTGCTGTTAAGGTATAAGAATAGACCAGATTTTTTGGGGGATCTGTTTATTGACAACACTAAGAATCCTATGTCGTTGTGGTTGTTAAAATGCATTCTCAAAGTTGTAAAAAGATAAAAGGCAAGTTAACTTGGACGCTCTCAATTTTAGGGAAGATCAGGTGACATAAACTGAAATGGGTTGTTGTAGGTTTTTTCGGGCTATATGGCCATGGTCTAGAGGCATTCTCTCCTGACGTTTCACCTGCACCGGTGGCGCAGTGGGTTAAAGCCCTGTGCCGGCAGGACTGAAGACCGACAGGTCGCAGGTTCGAATCCAGGGAGAGGCGGGTGAGCTCCCTCTATCAGATCCAGCTCCTCATGCAGGGACATGAGAGAAGCCTCCCCCAAGGATGATAAAAACATCAAATCATCAAAGCATCCCCTGGGCAATGTCCTTGCAGACGGCCAATTCTCTCACACCAGAAGCGACTTGCAGTTTCTCAAGTCACTCCTGACACGACAAAAAATTTTTTTCTAAAAGTTGTAAAAAGATAAAAGGCAAGTTAACTTGGAAGCTCTCAATTTTAGGGAGGTTCAGGTGACATAAACTGAACTGGGTTGTTGTAGGTTTTTTTGGTTTATATGGCCATGGTCTAGAGGCATTCTCTCCTGACGTTTCACCTGCAATGGTGGCACAGTGGGTTAAAGCCCTGTGCCGGCAGGACTGAAGACCGACAGGCTGCAGGTTCGAATCCGGGGAGAGGCGGATTCTCTCTATCAGATCAAGCTCTTCATGTGGGGACATGAAATAAGCCTCCCACAAGGAAGATAAAAACATCAAATCATCCAGGTGTCCCCTGGGCAATGTCCTTGCAGACGGCCAATTCTCTCATACCAGAAGCAACTTGCTCCTGACACGACAAAAGAAAACCCTGCATCTATGGCAAGCATCCTCAGAGGTAGTGAGGATGCTACCTCTGAGGATGCTTTCCATAGATGCAGGCGAAAGGTCAGGAGAGAATGCCTCTAGACCATGGCCATATAGCCCAAAAAAACCTACAACAACCCAGTGATTCCGGCCATTAAAGCCTTCAACAATACATAAACTGAACTGCTTTGAGGGGCAGGTATGGCATTAGGGGCAGAACAAACATGGTCCAGAAGTGTGAAACTTGGACTTGAACTCTAGGAGATCAGGGTTTTAATGCCCACTCAGCCACACAACCCACTGGGTGGTTTTGGGCACGTCACACCCTCCCAACCTCATAGGAAGGCAATGGCAAACCTTCTCTGCATAAATTTGACAAGGAAACACCTCTTGATAGGGTCACCTTAGGGTTACCATAGGTTGGAAGTGACTTGAAGGAACATGACAACTACTACAATTGGGTGGCTGAGGGAGAATTTTCCTGTAGTGTAACAGAAAGTATGTTGACCCAGAAACTCTCTTCCTGATGCACTAATTCAGATCTTTAACTCTCTGGAAGTTTCCAAACTTTCAGGAAGAGTTTTGAAACTCACAATCCAGCCCGTTCTATTGGTACAATAAAGAATCAGCTCAGAATCCTAACACTGCACCATCCTGTAGATCAGGCCTTGGCATGGAAAAGACATTGGTCAGAGCAGGAAAAGAAGACAAAAAAGCAGTATTTCAAGACAATATATCATTCCTGACACATGGCGTCTTCACAAAACTGGGCAATCCTCTTTACAGGTGTGGCAGTCACAATGTTGTGGGCATGTCAACATTTAGCACATTTCCATTAAAGAAGTTTAATCAACAAAAGTGTGGACCCCCCACTCAACTGTAGGTTGAACATATGGTTTGAAATCCTACTCCTCACCATGCTTCCATAATGCAAATTTACCCCGGTGTAGTTCAGCTAACAACATTGTACATAAGAATTTGTATTTGCTAGCATGCCTGCTTTTTGTCCCCTTGTGCAATGGAGAATGTGCAGTGACTGTTTCTGAAATCCCAGCAAACCAAACTGAACACTGAATGCATTCATAAATAATTCAACACCACCCAAGAATGCAAAATGACATCGATGGAATTCTATTGTTTAGTCCCATTGAATCAATTGTTAAGTGGTGAGTCAACAGGTAGGTAAATCCAGTCGATTCAATGACTCCGTGCTAAACAGGACTAAGCATGGGATTTAGGCCCATGTGCAATGATTAACTTGTAGAACTATACTAATGCAGCTATGAAGTACATTTGTCATGCAACGGCCAACAAAAGTAGAATTTGGTAAATGCACCTACACAGGTCTATGACACCAACAGCACACTGCCCCCCATCTTTGTAGGATGAAGATTTTTTTTCCTTCCATCAGCCTTCCTGTCTAAACCTCTCCAAGCTCAGGATCTTACTGAGACTTTCCCTCGGACTCAAAATTTGGCATTACCAATGATATCTTTATGCCTGACTAGTTCCTTTGCCTGAACCTGACTTTCCATTGCTTGCTTACCATCTCACTTCTCCATCCAGACTCACCGGAGGCCAAGGTTTGGCCAGTCCATTTCACTCCACTCCTCAAATCCTCCTTATCATGAAACCTGACCAAACAGACATCCATCATACATCTGGCATCTTCTGGCAGACCCAGCCTCTGCCTGGTCCTTGGCCACCCTCCATGCCCATCCTCAAAGAGATCTTTTGTGTGTGGGTTGGTCCCCTTAGCCCCTTCAGCTGGTTAAACCCTGCACCTTGCCTTGTGTTTTGACAGGCTTTGTGAGTTTTGACAATCCTGCTAGTGCCCAAGCTGCCATCCAGGCTATGAACGGCTTCCAGATTGGCATGAAGAGACTGAAGGTGCAGCTGAAAAGGCCAAAGGATGCTAACCGCCCCTACTGAAGCATTGTGGGAAACACTGGATAAGCAAGGTCTAGCACAGGTAACTGCTCAGTGGGGGGCAAGGGGACGTCACCTGTTGTCCAATAGCGTCTCTTGTGTTGTGGACCCTTAACCATTGACTCTCTAAGGTTCTGCCTTCTCCTCTAGAGCCATTCCAGAAGTATGAACATGACATGGAATCTGTTGGCTTAAGCATTAACATTGGTTATGGGAAGGGAAATACGAGATAGGTGCAGCAATCTTGCATTTCTGGATCATCTTTTATATTTTTGTACAATCCTAAGGCCCCATCTACACTGCAATTATAATGCAGATTGAACTACATTATATGGTCAGTGTAGACTCATATAATGCAGTTGAACTGCACAGAACTGGATTATATGAGTCTACGCTGACCATATAGTGAGGTTCAATCTACATTACAATGCAATGTACATGGGGCCTTAGATAATCCGCCTCCGCTTCTTGAATTGTTTCCCTGTCCTCTCCGTGGCACCAACTTGGCAACATAGATTTACTGGTACAGGTGGCTTTCTGCAACTTCAGGTTGTCTATGGACTTTACCTAACTTGACCATCACAAAAGACACCCATCACCAAATACCCATTCCCATCGCTGTTGGCTGAAAACAACAAAAGGTGTGCTCTGCTAGGAAGATCACCCCACACTCCCATGAAATGAACACAAACTGCTCCAGAACCTTGGTCCAGTCTTGTGTTCAGTCTCTCCCATTTCAGCAAGGTGGATGTTGTCAAAAGTCTCTGACTCTTCGATTGAATGAAATGAAAGACACAAGTTCTGCTGTGATAGTGAAGAAGGAATATCTAATCTATCCATCCATCCATTTCTAGGTTCTTGTGGGTTTTTTCGGGCTATAGGGCCATGTTCTAGAGGCATTTCTCCTGACGTTTCGCCTGCATCTATGGCAAGCATCCTCAGAGGTAGTGAGCTCACTACCTCTGAGGATGCTTGCCATAGATGCAGGCGAAACGTCAGGAGAAATGCCTCTAGAACATGGCCCTATAGCCCGAAAAAACCCACAAGAACCTAGTGATTCCAGCCATGAAAGCCTTCGACAATACATCATCCATTTCTAGTTTATAGTGCTATTGTAAACCTGTCAAAACGAGTTTCATTCCTTGCATAGGACAACCTTTATTATATATGATGCATTCCCATCATGGTTGTAAGCAGAAGCTGTTGTCCCACCAAGTAGTCCTTCTGTGCAAAGTTCAGTTACATCAAAGCAACTTGAGAAGAAGTAGTAGCTAGTGTGCTTGGTGTGAATGCCACAGGCAGACAAATTAAGCCACTCCAAGACCAACTAAACTCAATAGGAGAGCGTGGCTTCTGTATCAATGGGATCTATGAATCCACTCCAGAGTATGGATTCAGTTCCTGTCCAAATCAATAGTTCACTTTAAAGCCACACTTTAAAGGCATTCCCCAAATTTGGTTGTGTGCCTTTGCATCTCCTTTCACGTCCAAAGGAAAACTTGGAGTGGCTTCACCGTCCCACCGGCATGAAGGTGAGCAGCCATTATTGGCTGTGCTACTTGGCATGTTAGGATGCTTCCAGGGTGTGAATTCTGAAGAGACCTTCAAACCAGATGTTGTGTGTCTAAGTCTCTCTGGCAACTCAACCCTTCCTATAGTGCTGAGCCATATGTCTTCCTTGACTATCAACGTAATGATTTTTCACCTATTCCCAGGTCCACCAAAAACACCTGAGCTTTATCTGTGGAGAAAGGGACAATTGTCGTTGTTTCTTAAGTGCCACAAATGAAGGTGACCCAGTAATGGCAGAAGGTGGGCACCTATAAAATCTGGATAAAATGGCAATGCCAAACATTTGGAAATGTAGCCTTAATCTTTCAAATGGCAAGCCTGGATTGTAAAGCAAAAAATGGAGTGCTTTCTATGTTTCCAAGAACCACTCAAGAACTGTGGAAGTACTGTGGTTTGTGCACAAGCATTTCTGAAAGGAACTTGTCACATTCCTGTCACAGAAGCTGTGATTTTGTAGGATTGGTGGCATGAAGATAATTAAAATCTAGATCAACTCACTTCAGGATCTCAAGGGAAAACCTGAATGCCGGTGGGGGGAGGGGGGGTGTTGTGCAATCTTTTATTTGGCATGGTGACAATTACCACTCTAGGCTCTTGTAGGTTTTTTCGGGTTTTTTGAGGATGCTTGCCATAGATGCAGGCGAAACGTCAGGAGAAATGCCTCTAGAACATGGCCCTATAGCCCAAAAAAACCTACAAGACCCTAGTGATTCCAGCCATGAAAGCCTTCGACAATACAAATTACCACTCTTCTAAAACTTTCCCATTGTTACCTATAAGGAGAGCTTAATTCTACCCTGGAAGTGAAAAGGGCAGATCTAAAATTTTGGTGGATGATAGATCTGTATCAGTTTAGTATGCAATTGAAATATGGACCATTGGGTTGCCAGTTGAGTGAAGGCAAAGGAAAATAGATGCCAAGTGGGCAATTTCCCTATCTTGATTAATTGGGAAGGTGGATTAAGACAATGAGTGGCAAGTGCCACCCTACCCATATTAATATGGCTTGTTTCCAGATGAGAGGAATGGAGGTAAACAGTATTTTTGTGCAGAAATCTTATTTGGTGGGAATAAGGAAGCAACATGATATTTCAATAATTCTTTTCCCACTGATAGAGTGTCTTCAAAAACTGCAAAGCCATTGTTAAAACCTGTGTGCAATTCAGGGCTTGTTCTGCATCAAAACCATATCTGGGTTGTTTTGAGTAGAAAACAACACTTTCAGTTCAGCAAATATAATTTCCAGCACAGAAACTAACTATGGTTTTTATGCAAATCAACCACATGCAAATTTTGCACAGAATAAATATTCAAATACAAAATTTCAAGTACAATAATTTCTGTGCAGGAAATATGATTTCTTCATAGAAATAGTATTCTCTTGGTATCAAGTACCATTTCTTGTACAAAGCAACCAGATGCGAATTTTGCACAGACTAAATCCTCAATTGTAGCATTTTGTGTTCAGGAAATAAAATTTCTGCATAAAAATATATTCTTTGCAAAAACAATACTGTTCGCAATGCAACCATGTGTGAATTTTGCACAGAATAAGTCACAAACTCATCAGTCTAAGAGTGTTGTCAGCAGATTTTCTCAATGCCCAAGAAATCCATAATCAGTTTTGTGCTTTAGTCTGACTTTTTTGAAGGACCTATCTGAAATAATGAATGTATTTGAGGATCATAGAATCATAGAGTTGGAAGAGACCTTGATCCAGTCCAAACCCCTGCCAAGAAACAGGACAATGACTATGATTAGGCCCCAAGAACATATTTAAAGTTCAAACTGAAGCTCAGATTATGTTGACCATCACCCCACTAATATGAGACATTCCACATTATCACGGGGTGTCTGCGCCCTACACCACTGGAGAAATTGCACTGCTTAGCCGGTATTGCACCACCTGACATCCGCCGGGAAGTGGCAGCCAATAGTGAAAGGACCAAGGCAGAGACATCTCCAGCTCATCCCCTGTTTGGGTATCAGCCAGCAGGTTAATGACTTAAATCTAGAAATAGTTTTCTAAGATCTACAGAGACACTTGCTGGAACACCTCAGCAAGCGAGAGTCCAAAAGTGGCAGGCTCAAACCCAGAACCTCAACCAATGGCTGATACCAAATGAGACCCCACTAATATGGAAACTACCAGTTTCCACTGAGGGAAGGAGTCAAATTTCCCTTTCCTACAAACCAGGAAAAAACTTCCCCATCACTATATAGCAATAAAGTGGTCAAATCAGATGTTAAACCTGATCCCTCTAACAATACATTGATCCAATGACCTTTATCAGTTGGCCACCACCTTGGAAAGGCATACTACCTCAAGGTGGTGGAGAAACCCAGGGTCTAGTTTACTCGCAGAGACTACATGTACTAATAAATACTGTTCAAGTGTGCTCTGCTCTTTGCCCATCCTTCATTCCTTCCAAAACCTGAGCCAATCTCATAGTCTAGAAAAGGGATTAGAGCCCCAAGTTAAGTCCATCACTGGAAACAGTGATAAAGCTTCCTCCAAAGTCCAAAGAAGGTGTGGGTGAGTTTGAGGACCTGGCAAAACCTAGATAAGCACTTTGGGATGTGATCCGTGGGCAAGGGATTTGTTGTTCTTGAGTGGCAACAAATTATGAAGCGCTGGACCAACTTTCAGGCTTGAGTTGCCATAATCGGATTTACACAACAACAAAGTGCAATAGGGTTCCCCTTCCCTGAGCTTGCCTCTCATGAATTTAAGGCAGTCAGAGAGAATTTTGCAGGGCATTTTTTGTGAAAAGTTTGTGTCCATGTGTTGGCAAAATGGAGCTATGATTTGCTGCCAACTGGGCACCCAGCAACACCCTTTTGTGGCTCCTGAAAACTTCCACAAAAGCCCTCTACGTACCCCAATTTTTTTAAAAAAACGGTACAATTCAGTACAAATTTCAGGCAATCTTTCCAAACTCACTTAGAAAGCCCCCTGAAAAGTATGCAAACACATGAAAATACAACAACATCTTAAGGGATACATATTTCCCATGTCTGGGTTATGACTATTCCTAGGGGCACAATAACACATGAATTATTAATGCTAGATGGATGGGTGATATTTTTTAAACACAATGATCTATTATGAACTAAAGAAAGTGCTTGAAAAGAACCTGTCCAAAGCAAATTATTATTATTGTTTGATAAACAACAAAACTAGTACAGAGCAAACCAGATTTTGTATTTGATCACACGTCAGACACTTCCCAAGTGTCTAGGTCGGTGTGATGTATTGGCAAATAATGCATGCAGATCCAAGTAGGGTGGCTTTTTGCAGCTGAAAGATGGTAATTTTGTCCACGCTGATTATTTTTAAGTGCAGGCCAAGGTCTTTAGGCACTGCACTCAGTGTGCCAATCACCACTGGGACCACCTTGACTGGCTTGTGCCAGAGTCTTTGCAGTGCGATCTTTAAATGCTTGAATCATGTAATAATAATTATTATTA